GATACCAATGCAGCTCATTCACGTGTCTTCCTTTCTGTCCGCTATGACTCCGTCCTTACATTCCACTCTCATTCCTACTTCATTCTCTGCTCCTTAGCAAGAAGATAGGGTGGCTTGCTGAGCCCTACCTGAGCCAGAGAGTCTGCTGCTTGTCCATGCAAAGTATGCTGTCTGCATCTCCATTCTTCTATATCTGTGAAGTGCCTATAACTAGATTCCAGATGGTGTTGAGGTATTTTGTGGTGTAAGGAACATTCATTATTATTAAATATTTTTATATCTGTCTTTATTATCATGTCCTACGGATCATTTTTCATGCTTTTAATACAGTGGTGCCTTGGTTCACAAACTTAATTCTTTCCTCATTTCTGATCGCAAACCGAATTGGACAAGAACCTAATCAAATTTCCCCATAAGGTCAACATTGAACCTAACCATTGAATTTGATTGGGTTCTCATCCAATTTGATTTGCGATGAGAAACATGGAAAGAATTCAGTTCATGAACCAAGGTACCACTGTATTTTCTTTAGATGTCAAAAATTATTTCATTATAGAATAGCTTTGAGTTATGTAATTTCCCATCTTGCTTGAAAGAAAGAATATACTGGCACCCACATATAAAACCCCATTTACTCCTCAAAATAGAGAGGGTTAGAAATTGTGGAAAGCAAGGATGTTTAATCTCATTTTATAGGCAGACTGAGTTCTTAGAAGACAGTCTCACCCAGCCTGCAACAGGTGATGTAGAGTGTCGTATGGGATTGCCTAAATTGGAATCTCTGTTTTGCTGCTTTACAGCTGCATGATGTTCGGCAATTAATCAGCCCCTCTTGCTGCCTCAGTTTCCTGAGGATAATGTAGCTGCTGACTCATGGAGGAGTTGTAAGGTTTTGTACTAAAGTATATGAATTGCTAAGTAGGATCCTAGTACATGGTAGTAGATGTTGGCTGGGGAAAGAAAAGGTAGAACAGAAGGGAGAACCCCTGGGCATGACTAACCTAGAATACCTCAACAACAGTAAGTACTCAGTTTGCACCGGGGTTGACCCTATGCATGGGGCCACAGTCTGGTTTTTGCACCCCACCCCACTGGCTTATAGGCCATGACTAATCTCATAAAACACAAAGATTGAAATGGATATTGTCATTCTTTGCTTTATATCACAGGCTGGCCTAATGTTTCCCTTACTCCTCTTTCTGATACTCTGATTTCTCATTCTGGCTTTACTCCCTCACTTTTTTCAGTGTTACATCTAAATTGTTGTGTTATAATTTGTAGCAGGACACTTGGATATCATAAGTGATTTACAGAAGATTGTTACTCTTAAATGCATAAAATATCTTCAACTTCATAAAAATTACTTCAGGATATTTTTCATGATACTCAGTTTGCCTTTGTGATATTCTTCCTCATTACTGGTTCCAAGACAAACAGAATTTGTGTTTTCCATTGGTAGTGGGTCTGTTTTTCTTTGAAAGAGTTCTGTCAAGTTCCAGTGCCCTAGAGTTAAAGAACTTTGACCAACGATGCTTTGATTTGTGATTTTAAAAGTAACAAATTCCCATTTCATTACCTCATATCAGAAGGGGTAGCAGGAAACATTCAAGTCTCTCGGCAGTTATTTGTAATGCAGGTTATGATAGACCCAGGTCAGAACCTCCCGAGCAAGACTCTCAGATTCCACACAGGAATCTGTGTGGTGCAACAGAGCATCAGCTTAGGGCCACTTCTCAGATGCAGAAATGTTTCCACTGTAACACGCAGCAGCTAGGGTAACGTGTGGTTGCTGTCTTCAGAGTTTTCCAGAGCAGAGTGTCTCCCAGGAACTCATAACCACCGTTGAGAGCTGTGGGGTGGTTGAGTGGGAATGGGGTTGCCCCACTTTCCTGGGTGTACTAGATGATATTAGCTATTTGGTGTTTGGATGGCTGACTCGTCCAGTTTCTCTACAATGTGGTAGTACAGGCAACACATTTTAGTCATTAATGAGAGAGAGATACTGCCAAGAGCAAAAGAGTTTCCTACCAGGTGAGTACCAAGGAATGGAATCCAGCAGCTTTTCCTCCACCCTACCCCTATCACCACAGCAGCATTCAGTTTGGCCATTGACTCCCCACTATTTGTACAAAATGTGCGCGCGCGCGTGTGTGTGTGTGTGTGTGTGTGTGTAGCAAGCCTTATGAAAAGCCAGGAAATTGCCTCCTGATATAGGTAATTATAATCACATACAGCAGGCACAAATATAGTACTTAGTATACTGTTCAAAGAACTTTGCATATGTTCATATACCTCAAAACACCTCCATAAGGTAGATACTATTTTTAATCCCCACTTTAGAGATGACAAAACTAAAGGACAGAGACATTAACTTGCTGTTCAAAGCTGTACAACTAGTACATGACAGCCAGGATTTGGCTGGAGCTTTTATCAACTATGCTGTCTTTTAATTATTAGCAAAGGGGAAATATTATATCCAATTTTAGTTATAAACTATTTTAATATTACACAAATGTAAGGGAGAAGTGTTGCTAGAAATAAAGAGGAATAACACTGAAAATATCAGTTGAACAGGAAAACACACCATCCTAAATATAAAGCCACCTTCTAACATAGCTACAAGGTAGATAAAGCAAAGATTGTCAGAACTAAAAAGATACATAGACAAATCCATAGAAACAGCTAGACATTTTAGCACATCCTTCTCAAATAGAAGAAGCAGACAACATAATCAGCAAGTATATAGAAAATTTGAACAATCATCGTAACCAACAACTGCAGAACATATATTTTGAAGTCTACATGATGCATTCACCAAAGTCAGTTGAGTGCTGGGTCATAACAACTAAGATTTAGCAAATGTCAAAAGATTGAAATCATACATAGTTTGGTCTTTGACCACAGTAAAATTAATTCAGATATCAATACCAACGGGTAACTACAAAATTCTCTACTGTGTTGAAATTAATAACACAATTCTAAATGACGTGAGGTTCAAAAAAGAAATTACAGTTGAAATTAGAAAATGTTTTAATGGAACAGTAGTTGAATTGTAGGATGCCAAGATTTGTAGGCTGCAACCAAAGCAGTGCTTAGAGGGAGATTCATAGCTTTAAATGTAAGAAAGGGGTTTGAAAGACTATAGTTTAAATCTTTGTCTCAAGAAGCTGAGAAGATGATGAGCAAATTAAGCCCAAAGAAAGTAGACATAATCTAGGCTGAAATCAATAGAGTAGAAAAATGAGCATACAATAAAAAAATCTTTAAAAACCAAAAGTTGATTCTTAGAAAAACTCAATTGCAGTTAAGCATAAGAAGCACCTCAGTACATTTCCTTCACCCCTCTGCCCTCACCACGTACTAAATTTTGAATTAGGACATAATTTATCTTTAGAGTAAGGTTTTTTTTAAGCCAGTCCCCCTCCCACCAAAATGCTTTATACCCCTAGCATTAGTCTGTCAACTCCTCTTTGGACTTTGAGTCTCTGCAAATTCTTTTCTAACTATTCTCCTGTCTCTGTTTGTTCCATGCTAAGCAGATGGCCCAGAAATTAGCCAAAAGCAGGAAGAAGGTGCAGTACAAACAACTTCATCAGCTTGGTGTTATGCCTGTTCTTTCCATTTGTTTATGTTTTGCCTTTTTATTGTTTCGTGTTTTTGTTTTCTGCATCCAGCAACTTTTTGTTCTGATTTCTTTTTGAACCGCCCCATAAACCAGCGTTTCTCAAAACAATGTTGCCTCAAGTGGCTGTTTTCTGTTGCTCATGAGTCATTTCACTTCAGAAGAACGACAGGGAGCAAATTGGAGATGCTAAATGAGTCCTGTAGTAGTGTGGAAGTTCCAATCATTTAGGAGCAATGATGTGCCAGGGACTTGGGTCTGTCCAATTCTAGCTATGTTTGATTTGGAGATTTGTCAGATTGCTGGATGCAAAAAAGAAAACTCGCTAATAACCACACATGTGCAGAGTTCAGCCCTAAATGAACCAGACTGAGCTTTTTTTGGTTGTGGAGCTTGTAGGTGCTTGTGAACTGCTCTGGGGGTGTTGATGCCTCAGGGCTCTTTCCTAATGGGGTGGCTTCAGGAGTGGGCAGCTGCTTCCATGTTGCTCTGGTGGTGTGTGAACATGAAGACCCTCTTACCAGAACCGCATCTAAATGACTTCATTTGCACCTGCTAAAAACATTGCCCTCCATCCGCCCAAGCAAGGGCAAACTCTTTAAGAGACTTCCCCCAAGGTCTTGGGTGTGAGTTAGTCACCCTTGCCCTTCAGTGTCTAAACCCTTGCAGAAAGGGCCATTTCCCATCATTGGTCAGAGTCAAATCTACTACATGAGTTTCTACCTCTGTAGGGGAAGCAGCAGAGAAGTTGCTGCCTTTTCCCCAGAAACCTAGAGATGCTAACTCCCGTCCATATGTCCATCCTCTCTGTGGTACCTTTGGCTTTGGCAGTTTAACCCTGGAGTCTGCGCTGCCGTTCTGGTGACTGTGTCTTGGTGCCTCTGTGTGTAAGCTCCCCTTGCTCATTCCTCAGGGTCGGGGTAACATGGTAAACTCCCTCTTGGTGTGTTTTTCTTCTCAGGCTCCTGAAGGGGAATCTCAGCCCATGACTGAGGTGGATCTCTTCATCTCTACCCAGAGAATCAAAGTATTGAATGCCGACACGCAGGTACCAGCTGACTCCCACCTTCTCCAGGGTGAAGCCCAGTAGCATCATAATGCTACTTTTGTACCTGTTTATACCTGTTGTCTCCTGGATTCAGGACTGGAGACAAGCAAAATAGATTCATATGCAGTACTTTCTGCTGGGGGGTGGGAGGCTGTTTCCTTATAACCAATGTGGAAAGATTAACCTTTTAAGAAAGTATTTAAAATCACACACATGCCAGGCATGGTGGCACATGCCTATAAACCCAGCTGTCCATGAGGCTAAGGTAGGAGGATCATAAGATTGGGCCCTGCCCCTGCAACTTAGTGATTTATGAGACCCTGTTTCAAAATAATACCAAGTTGGGGATCAAGGATGTAACTCAGTGCAAAGGTCCTGGCTTCAGTTGCCCAGTACTGCAAAAAAAAAAAAAAAAATCACACACACATGAAAACAATAAATAACTATGCCATGTAGAGTTTATCTTCCTTTTAACTTTTCCACCAGAGACTACTGGTTATAAAATGTTTGAAATTTCCTATTTCTTTTCAGCCACCACAGATCATTTTTGCTCTTGTTAGCCTAGGGAAATGTTCTCAGACCTCGGGGTGTGCACAGACCCGCCAGCAAGGTCCTTCCGGTGAGCCCAGAGTCCACTCCACTTGTGGCTCACAGTGGGCCAGGCTGCAGGATGGCAGACTGACTCTCGGGGTCCCTAGATGCTGTGCCAAACTCACTCTTTGTCCCCTTCTGCCTCTAGGAGACGATGATGGACCACCCTCTGAGGACCATTTCCTACATTGCAGACATCGGGAATATTGTTGTGCTGATGGCCCGCCGGCGGATGCCCCGCTCCAACTCCCAGGAGAACGTGGAGGCTTCCCACCCCTCGCAGGATGGGAAGAGGCAGTACAAGATGATCTGCCACGTCTTTGAGTCTGAGGACGTAAGCGTGATCTTCCCTGATCTCCCTCTAAGTGACCTGAGCAGCCACTGGGTGACGAGATTCTCTTGATTTCTCACAGCCTGAATCTGTCTAATTCATCATATGTGAAGCATGTTTTTACTACTCTGTGTCAGCCAGTGTCCTAGAGCCAGAGCTCTAAGGCTGAACAAAACATAGCAGAGAAGGTACTCACTACTGCAGTTTAAGGGAGAGGAAAACAAATATTCTTAATACAAAATTAGGCAGTGGGAAGTGCTTTATGGAAGAGTAAAATAGGTTCAAGGAGTAGAGAAATGGAGCAGTTTCAAGTGGGATGATCAACAAGATCCTTTCTTAAGAAGGGGACATTTGAGCAGAGATCTGAATAAAGTGAGAGGAAGGAAAGAGCAGAGGCAAAGACTCTAAGCAAGTGCAAAGGCCCAGAGGCAATTTGTTTGAGAAGGGAAAGGAGCCCTGCTCCTGGAGAGGTTGGAAAGAGAGGAAGAGTGGCCCGAGTAAGGGCCTGAGCAGGCCTCACTTGCACACCAGGGCATTTAGAAAGCACAGTTCTTTGCTGTTCCAAGCTGTCCTGGGGACTACAGGAAAGCTGGCATCCCTCCCTGGCCTTACCAAGTGGTAGGAGCACCACCCACCCAGCCCCAGTCCTCAGCAAAGCCAGATCCTCCCTCCAGTAATTTAGTCCTCACTCTGCTAGGTGACAAGGTCAACAGCGAAGATTGCTTTGCAACAGACATTATTTTTCACCTGGCCTTAGTCCAGGGTTGTCCCCAGAACTGCTGTGAGGCAACCAGACTTTACTGCATTGGCACTCAGGTTGCCCCCAGGCACCCACCCACCCTGGGCCTCTAGAGCTCCCTTCCCCAGAAAGGCCCCCAGCACATGACGGTTTGAACTGCACAGCCACCCCTGCCCTGCAGAGGGCCACATCAGAGCCATGGTGGTCACTTTCCCCATACAGAGGAAAAAGCTCTTAGTCTGCTGTAGAGCAGAAAGCCCTACTCTGCCTAGGAGAAAAATGCCCATTTTTCTCTATCCAGTGCTTAACCTAGCTGCATTAAACGGCCCTCCTCCAAGAAGGCAGGAGTCAGAGGCAATCCTACTTTTCTCTCTGGAACTGGAGCTCTCAGTACTGCAGTCACCACCATCTTTTACTGACTTGATTTTCTAGAAAGCAGCCCCTGCACAAAGTTGCTGGAAAGGCAGGGAGCCTGGAATAGTCTCCCTGCTACTCTTCAACAGCAAGGCCAGGCACACAAACTGGGGAAAAGTGAAGTCTAGAAAGTTCTTTCATGAGTGGAAGTTTAGACTCTTAAGGCTCCTGTGTCCTGCAGGGCAGTGAGAAGGTGGACCGAGCTCTGCTCACCTGGCTTGAGGCTCCCTGCAGGCCCCTTTGTAGGACAGTTCCCCAGGGCTTATTGAACAATGTCCAGTACCTATGCAATGCTCCGTGTATTCACCCTGTTGTTTGTGTAGAGTCTGAGCACTTCTGAATTCTAAAACACAGACTCGGGAGTGTTGGACGGGGTTTTGGACCAACCACACACCACCCATCTAGATGAGTGTGAGGAGTCACACCAGTCCTGATGTACAGTGCAGACACACACAGTGCTCAGTTGTTGGCTATCCTGATGAATATTTTCGCTTAATTGATGCAAGGGAAAGTTACCAAAGCCTGGTGCATGGAAGAGGCAATGGAAACAATGTCCACCTTCTGTGAGCTTTGTAACCTTGAGCTGGTTCCTTTGTATCCCTGGGGCCTGAGTCTCCTCACCTGGAAAGTGCAGGGTTGGACCATATCAGGGTTCCTGACTCTGTTGGGTCCAACATAACCTTTTGAAAAATTTTTTACAAAGTAATCAGTGTATGGCCATAAACATCTGACAAAGGAGAAATAAAAAGAAAGCAATCTAAGATAAAATCTTAGTACAACATCTAAAGGCTCAGTTCTAACCACTCCAAAAGCCATAGCCAAGTCCTCAGATGCTCACACCTACTTGATTAATAAATTTGGCTGTAAGAGAACATGGTATTCTGTGCAATATTGTCAACACTTTCTACAAATTGAAGGCTAAATAATATGAAGATAGAAACACGAGCAGAATGGTGTGGTGAATGTGCTAGTTCATAGAGATGTGATTTATTAGCAACTCAGACTCCATGAAGAGCAGTGGTGTGGATGATTGTCTAAAGTTATGAAGCTCACTCCTGGTAAAGTTTTAGATAAGGCAAAGGACCATCTTCCTTCGATTCATACAGTATTAGTCTTTAAACATTCAGTGGATATCAAGGCCACACAATGAGTCTTTGTGTTTATACATAAGTTAGGGTTCAGTCCTGGATACAGATCATTAGAAACAGGCATTACATGTACCTGAACATCCAGTGGCATATTTGAAAACCATCTATGACACAGAACCAACTGCAGGATGCCCAGCATCTCTGACTCCTCCTCTCTGCCAAATGCCTGTAGCACCGTTATGATCACTGTCCTAATCAGAAATGTCCCCAGTAATTTTGAAAATGGCACTGATAGACACTGGTGCCCCTAATGCAGAACCTCTGGCCTGCCTAACATCCCAGGCCCCCCAAACTCCAAGAGAATTGTAGTAGGGGTGGAAGGGACAGCAGGCATCCACCCACAGCTGTGCCACTGACCACCATCTTTTGCTCTGGCTGCTGCTCTAGGCCCAGCTGATTGCACAGTCCATAGGGCAGGCGTTCAGTGTTGCATACCAGGAATTCCTCAGGGCCAACGGGATTAACCCAGAAGACCTCAGCCAGAAGGAGTATAGTGACCTGCTCAACACCCAGGACATGTACAACGACGATCTGATCCACTTCTCCAAGTCGGAAAACTGCAAAGATGTAGGTACTTTCCTGAGGCTGGACCGGCTAGGTGAGGTTCTGGGGAGAACGGGACACCAGTCATGTGAAAGTGAGGGCCACAGAGGCTGAAGGGTGTGACATTGGCAGGGCACTCTGGAGAGGCTCATGCCCATCCTCCAGCTCTTCCATCCTGGGGCCCTGTTATTAGATGCTGTCATGAGCAGATACAGAGAGGCAGCACATCCTCTGCTCCCAGGAAGCCTGACCCACATTTTGAGTGGGTTCTAGAGGTATATGGACCTAGGCGCTCACCATAGGAAGTCCTCAGTCTAGGTAAGAGCACTGAAAATGCCTAGTGAGGGCACCAGTTTAAGTGCTGGTCAAAGCCAGCTGCCCTCAGCCAGATAAATCAGATCACAGGTTCAAGAGATAGATCCTGTGCACTCCATCGCTTTAGACCACACTGTGCAGGAGTATCTGGAGGAAGACAAGGCTACTTAGCTGGTCTGGAGGGCTAGGAGCTATTTGGAACATATAGGGCCAAGCAGAGAGCTGAACTCAAGTAACAGCACAGAATCATAAAAGTCAGAAAGCTCCAGATTTGCTGGGGAATCAGGGAGGTGGCTCAGAGCAGGGCATGAGTGAAGGAAAAGAGAGCAAGAGAGATCAGCATTAAGATCTGGGTCTTAACTGGAGGGTTATGTCTGGCTGCAGGGTTTGGACTTCATTCCATGGACTAAAGAATGTTTAGTGACAAAGTAGTCTTTCAATCCACTAGTGTATGTTAGGTGTCTCAGGTCAGGTTCCATAGAAGCAAAGCTTGAGATAAGGACTCTTGCTGAGGAAATGTATTGGAAACCCACACTCAGAACAAAACGGGAGTGTGGGAGCAGGGTGCTGGGCACTGAGGAAGAGTGTGGTCTTCCGGGTGCCAGAGATGTTGAGGACAAGAGCTCACTTGGGCTGGAGTCAGTTGGGAAGTGTCTTCCTGTTTTCCCAGACAAGAAGGGCAGAATAGCTCTGATTTCTAACACTTCCCTTCATGGTGGCCTTCAGGCTAAGTGTTTTTCTCCATTCAGGTTTTCATAGAGAAGCAGAAAGGAGAAATCCTGGGAGTTGTGATTGTGGAGTCCGGCTGGGGATCCATCCTGCCAACCGTGATCATAGCCAGCATGATGCATGGTGGCCCTGCAGAGAAGTCAGGGAAGCTGAATATCGGGGACCAAATTATGTCCATTAATGGCACCAGCCTGGTGGGCCTGCCTCTGTCCACCTGCCAGAGCATTATTAAGGTATGTAGACACGGGGAAAGCCTGCTTGTCTCATAGACTGAAATGGCTGGAGTGGGACTGCCCTCCAGTCATTAACATTGATGAAGGTATTTCCCAGTGGCAGACACCGAGGAAGACACAAACACAAAGGCACTGACTTGCCCTCAGGCAGTTTACAAGTTCTTGCACAAGTTTTGTTTAGATCGGGGGAAGTGGGCGTGGCTCACATAACACCAGTGTCTGAGTCCATGCCCACTGCAGGCAGCGCTGATCCGTCCCAGCACAGCATTCCAGACAGTCCCTTATAATCAGATGAACGGGATGACTACCGTCCCTGTTAAATTCAAATCATGGAAATGGGGCCAGAGATTTAGCTCAGTGGTTCCGGCGCCTGCCTCAAAAGCACAAGGTCCCGAGTTTGATCCCCGGTACCAAAAAAAAAAAAAAAAACAAAAAAAAATTCATGGAAATGTTTGAGATCTGAGAACACCGAGAAGCAGATGAGTCCGTCTTTCTCCCAGAGCCATGAGAAGGAAACTGTCACAGTCCATGTATTCCTTCTCAGACCTCAACAGTCTTACTTACTCTTCATCCTGAACCAGTGCTGTTGTATAAGGCCAAGGAGAGCTACTTAAAAGAAATTAAATGTAAGTATTTCAGGGGAAGAAATTAGATTTTCTTCTTAGAAAGGAAGCATCCCCATAGTCTTCCAAGCACACTGGTGCTTGCTAACTGCATGGCCAGTGTGTGGAAGTGCTCCTTCGCCACGGTAGCCCTGTACACAGCACTGCAGCATCATGGGAAGACTAGGATTGTGCAGCTTTCCTTGGTACCTGGCGTTTCATGAAAGAGTCTTAGCACACGGCTCTGGGGGAGAAATGAGTACATTCATACGGTAGTCATGCTGAGTGAATGAACAAAAGCCACCATCTTCGTCTGAAGGGAAGGGGGTGGAGTATACAAGTGAATGTACATGACTCAGACAGTTGCCCCTTTTAATGAATAAATTCTGCCTGTTGCTTAATACACAGACAGACACATATCAACCACAGTTCTTATATTCTGAGAAATGTGTTGTTTGGTCATTCTGTCATTTTAAACCATTGTGGAAGACTTACACAAACCTAATCAACTAGGCAATCACTAGATGTGGCCTCTTGATGCAACCACAAGACACAGTCATCATGAGATCTGTAAGGCTCTCACCTGTGTAACACAGCACACTGTAAGGAGCACCGTGCTCTCTAAAATAGCAATGGAAAGCATAGCAGTAACTATGTAAACAGTAATGGTTTTATCATTATTATCAAGTATTATGTACCGTACATGAGAGAGTGTGCTGTTTTGGTTCTTGGTATTTTTTCTTTTTCTTTTTGGTGGTCCTGAGGATGAACTCAAGGCCTCATGCATGCTAGGCAAGTGCTCTGCCACTGAGCTACACTCCAGCCCTGTGCTGTGCTTTTACCCAGCAGTAGAGGCACTGACACCAGCACTGCCACAAGCACATGCAGCGTGGGTTGTGCTGTGGTGTTAGAACAGCCACAAGGTCACTGAACCATAGGATTTTCAGCTTCTTTGTGCTATAATCTTACTGTCATATTGTGGTCTGTGGTTAACTAAATATCATTGTGCAGCACCCGACTGTACATTAATAATGAGATGAGAGACTGACTCCAATTTGAACATGGATATTCATCAGACTTATTTAATTGGGCCTCTATTAGGTGCTGAGCTGAACCATGGAGAGGCTAGAATGATACTGTGTACATGGAGGATAATTGTGTCATTGAGAGGGTTCAGTGGGCCCTAAAAGGCTGCAAGTGTTTAGAAGTGTAAAAAGTTATACAGTGGTGTTTAAGTTGACCTTGAGGTAGTAAAACCTAGATTGTGAGAAACAAAGGACTGCGGCCTTCAGAAGTCTCTGCTTAAATTGGTGGACAGCAGGCTGACATGGGGTCAGGGGGACAGGTTCTGGGCCAATCTGGTTGAGACCCAATCTGGTGTTGCTATGGTGACGTGGAGAGGGGAGGGCTGACCCGGGGAGGGAGGTGGGGAATCCACACTGACATTGCTCTGCCCCTAGGGAACGAGTGACTTATTAGACACCTTGTGTGCAGCCTAGACACACGGCTGATACAGTCCGTATGGTGAGGATGGGGCGCTGGTCTAACTGGGAGAAGTGACAGGACTGGGGCCCACAGCGACCAAGTGCTGTGCATCTGGTGCTGTCTGACTGTGCATGTGGAGTACATCACTGACTCCTCATAAAGGCCCCCTGTGGGTGTGCACCATTGTTTCACCCATTGTACACACTGGGAAACTGAGGCACAGACAGTGATGGTGCATGCATAGGTCATTGGTAGAGCCAGGTCACTCAGCCAGTATGTAGCATGGCTCTGATGCAGAGCTGTCCCAGGGAAGGTATGCCTAAGTGCTAGATCCAAGACCAGGCCCTCAGCCAAGGATGATCTTGCACCCCTCAGATGGCCTGGAGATGGTCACAGTTGTCAGCCCAGGGGAACAGGTGCCACAAGCATCCAGCAGATGGAGACCAGGGATGCTGCCCAGCATGGAATTGTCCAGCCCCAGATGCCTATAAAGCCAGGCTTGAGGAACTGCATAGATGTTGGAGTTGAGAAGTCTGTGAGAGGGATGCTGGTGGGGAGGGTTGGTAGGGAGTTGGTCTGGAAAGATTTAAGAGAGCAAGAAGAGTGTTTTGGACTGAACATGTCCTGCCAAATGCATAAATTGAAGCCCTAATTCAAAGTGGTGGTATTAGAAATGGGATCCTTAGAGGAGTTTGGTCAAGAGGGTGGACCCCTCATGAATGAGATCATTGCTCTTACAAAAGGGACACGAGAGAGCCCTCTGGCCCTCCTGTTCCATGTGAGGCTGCAGCTAAAAGTCAGCTGTCTGCAGCCCAGAAGAGAACTCACAGAACCCAGCTGGCCTTCTGATCTCAGACTTGCAGCCTTCTGCACTGTGAGGAGTAACTTCTGTTGTTCATAAACCATCCAATCTCCAGTATTTTGTTTTAGCAACCTGAGCGGAGACAAGAAGGTAACTTGAGTGAAGGAGGGGAAGGGGCCTGGGCAGGAGGCCCACTCGGCTTGTTCATGGCCCCTAAGCTGTCCGTGAGGCCTGACTCTCCTCTCCACCCCTCGCTACCACTCTCAGAAAGATGAGGCCGGCTGAGGGGGTTGCTAGGCCCTTGAGGGCAGCTGGCCGCTTATGCCACAAAGGGACCCTGTTCTGTTCCATGCATCACCACGTCAAGGTAGGAAGAAAGCTTACTCAGGACAACCAAAGCTGCCTCAGACGTTTCCTAGGCGGGGAAGTTTGTTTGAATAGCTGAACTTTGATGTCAGTAAGTGGAAGATTAAGATTGTGCCATGATGAAAGAGACAGAACTGTGAAGGTAGAGAAAAACAAATCACTGCCTTTGTGGCCGCCCTCAGCAAAAAATGGCTCGGCCGGCCAGCCCCAGGTCAGACCATTGAGCTTTCCTTGTGCCCTGGGACAGGCAGCTTTGTGGAAAAGTCAGGTGGCCCATCTGTGGCCTATCTGAGCTAGGGAGGAAAGGTTTCCTCCTGGCTTACAGCTAGAATGCAGATGGACTAAATTTTCTAGACGACACACTCCTTTGCATGCATCTGGACAGATGCTCTTAGCTACCCCTGCTCACTGCAGGAAATATCTGGGCTTCAGAACTTCCTGTTCCTATGTTTCAGTACCTTTCAGTATTCTTCACAGTGACTTTAGCCGGTAACTTGAGTTCTTATTAAACAGTGTTTGTCAAAACTGATGTGAACCACCCAGAGGTATTGCTGTCTAAATACAGCTCTGATTTGGCAGGTCTCAAGTGAGTTCTGCATTTTCAGCAAGCACCCTGGAATGGTGACAGTGCCAGTTCTCCACCAAGATTACAGGAAGTAGCGCATATTTCTGGAGTTACAGATACTGAATTATCTCTTTCAAGCTCTTACTGTTCCTGTTCTATTTCATACCTGTAGCATAATCATTAGGTGAAGTCTGTCTCTGCGCATACTGTTTCCTCCTTGGTCCTGTCCTTTGGATTTTTCTTTTTCAAACTGGTACCCAGCTTTCCTTCCCTTTAGGGAAGCACTGCCTTTTTGCTTTTCTGTTACTATAGAGACCGTTCTGGCTTTTCTCCCCTCCCCTCCTCCCTGCCCTCTCCCCCACCATATTTCTTAATTTGCTGCACCATTCCACTGTTGTCATGGGGATGGAATGACCGTTTATTTAATTGGCACCTCTAATAAAATGGCACCTCAGAAATCTAAGTTAATGGGGCCCAACTTGAAACATTGATTAGGAAAGCAGAGCAAATACATGGTCTGGTTATTTCAAATTGCCATTTGTCTAAGACTCATCTTGCAGCACATTTTTTCCAGTCTTTAAATTCTTTCACTAAGGGACTGATCAGACATCTTAAATCAATTCACATAAAAAGAAAAGAACCCACCAGAGCAATGTGAATTTCTTAGGTACACTGAGAAAGTAAGACCATTCTCTTGCTTTTCGGTATGTTCTGTACGGTTTTCTCAATTGCAGAGCATACCTAAGTGATCCCGGTGGTTAATAGGTGTAAACAGTTAAACCAGGTGGCTTTGTCTGAAGAGTTGTGACCCTGGCAACAGGTTCCTTTCTTAGCATTCTTAGCATGTTTCCCACAAACCCTGGTTTTTGTGGTGTGTGATCATAGAGACAGAGGTGAAGGGACTCAAGCCCACAGCCCTGTCTTAGTTCTGACATCTCCTGTCCAGCCTTTCCCAAGTTCTGGGAGCCCCAGAGGTGTCTTGCTCCACCCAGTCTCCAGAGCCTGATACGTTTCTTGGCACACAGCAAGGGATCCATGTTTTTTTTTTTAAAGTGGTTAAAAAAGAGGAAGTACTCAAAGGAAAAAAAAAGATTTGCATGATGTCTGAGCTGCCCTTCACCCTACACCACACTTTCTACGGGAAAAACCTTTTTAATGTCAGCTGATAGGTGTTTTTAAGTGTAATGGTTGAGATTTATTATTGTAGGCTAAGGCATTTAGGAAAACACATTAAAAGGGAGTAAAGAATTCAGAACTGGCAGAAACTTCAGCAAGTTTCACCATTTGCTGAGAAGATGAGAATACCTGAGGCATAGGAAAGGCAGACCCTGCTGATGCCCACTGCTTGTGCCGAAAGCAGCGCATGTGCACCCCGGGTCTTCCCACACCAACAGTCTTCCTCGCCAGGCTGTGCTCAGACCCCTATGGAGAGCATAAGCCAGAACGTCTCTCTCCTCTGTCCCTCTGTCCCATGGATGATGGGAACTGCTGTGGTGTAGAAGGCCAGGATCTTTTGCAGACTTTTTCACCTGGAGAATCACATTTGGCCCATGCCATTGCTCTGCTTTGAAAATACCACTCCCTTAACTGAGAAGTTTGCCCCAAAGATATCCCAAACCACTAGAAGACACTTGTAACATGAGCAATAAGTCATCTGGCGTGACACCAGAAGCCAAAAGACAGCTCAAGTCTCCTAGAAAACAGAGTAATTCAGAACACTGAGCAAGGAGGTGCAGAGGCAGAGAAACGGAATCCCATTCACTCTGAGAGGACAAACCGAATCATGCAAAGGCAGTGGGAACCCAAAGCGGGGAGGAATATGGGGAGCAGGAGCTCTGAAGAACTCTTACAATGTAGGAAAAGTGACCTAAAAATACATCCCCAACTCATGGCTGGAATTTCGGAACATAAGTTTCTGTTGCTGTCCCTGGCTGCCGCTTCATTGAGCAAGCCTTAGTCGTGAAAGATACTCTCCCACTGTGTGTAGAGGAGAAGGCACTGTGGGTTTCGGAAACGACACACCTGGGACTGAAGCTGGCTGTTGGGAATTTGAGTGAGTTACTTGGTTTCTCAGAGCCTCCACTTCCTCTTCTATAGAATGGAAGTAGTTACAGTTGCCAGTTTGTTGGGCAGGTGAACTGAAACTGCTCCTGTGACTCTCCAGGTTGGTGTCAGGCAGTCACTGTCACTGTGGTTGGCTGCTTTCGTGGTACTTGGGTGGGTATTGGTACCACAGTGATCCCAGGGGTACTCAAGCACAGTACTACCTGCAGATGGCTGGCCAGTGTCAGGCTCTGCAGGAACTGAGCCAGCCACAACCCTACAAGCTGCCCCCTCCCCAGCCTTACTAGCACCTTCTGTGATGGAGAAGTAAATTCACATCGTTAGGTCTGATCACTCTTAATCACTCTTGGAGAAATCAAGTCACATGGATGCAGGTGAGGCCAGCGTCTGCAGGGGTAGTCAACTGCAGTTCCCAAAATTGAGCATGCATCAGAATCACCTGGAAGACTTGGTAGCACAGATTATTGGGTCCCACTCCCAGACTTCCTGGCTCTTAGATCTGAGGAACCCTGAACTCAAACTCCTAATAGCGATGCTGAACTGCTGGCATGGGGTTATAGAACACTGGTATATACCAGTGTATACCTATGGTGTATACCCACTGGCAAGTAAAGAGCAAAGAACAGCTGTGTAGCCTGCAACTAAGCAAATCATCATTACTTAAAAGATGTGTGGATCTCCTCTGCCACTCAGAGTTGCAGGTCACACTCCTGCCACTAATTGTGTTTGCATTAGGGTTGTCTAACTCCAGTTTCACCTCTGCTTGGCTCAGTTTGTGATTAGGGGCCATGATTCGAATCCCAACCTCACAGAGCCTTTGGACTACCCAAGTTTCGTGTCCATGTCTGTGTTTCTGTCCTCATCTGAAAAATGTGAAATATGAGTTCTGGCCTTCCACAGAAAAAGGTTTGCAGGCTAGGCAAAGAGTGATACTCAGCAACAGCTGTGGAATTTGCAGCTTTCTATTTGTAGGAGGCAAGCAGGAGGCCTTCAATATAGGAGGCAAACAGTCACCCTCCATGCAAACCTTTCCTGGGTTGGCCATTGTTCTTCCGGGCTGCTCTTCCTGCCTGGCCTACAGAGGGCACAAACTGGGCCCACTGCTGAACCAATGGGGTGCTCCCTCCAGGGGACATCAAGGACTTGGATAATGTGCACCTTGTCCCCACATCCCTGCCCCTCTCCTGGTGGCTGCAGGATTCTGGAGCAGAGGGTGCCCACTCACCCCAAGCACTATCTTTTAAGAACAACAACTCACCTTCACCCCTGGCCCTTGGAGGAGAGAGAGGGACTGTGGCTGACCTTGGGTGACTTCCTAGTCAGCTGCCTTGCCTGATCGGGATCTGCTCAGGCAGACACTGCAGGCCCACATGCACTGATCTCCCCTGCAAGGAGCTTGGGAAGCAGGGCTGGGCAGCAGGGCCTCCAACCCTCAGCAGTGTGGCCTGAGCAAAACGTTACCATTTTCTGTGTGCCATGCCTTAAAACAGGCAGCACCAGCCCAGACAGCCTTTCGTGGTGGGAACTGAGGAGACTGGTGAGGGCTGCTTCTGCCTTGGGAGCTATCTCCTCTTATTCTGTCTGCATCGACAGTCACCATCTTCCCTCCACTCTGTTCATGTTTAAGGGCTTAAAGAATCAGTCCCGAGTCAAGCTGAATATTGTGAGATGTCCTCCGGTGACCACCGTGTTAATCAGAAGGCCAGACCTTCGCTACCAACTGGGTTTCAGTGTCCAAAATGGAATTGTAAGTACAGCTCACTCCATGCCCTTTTCCAAAATGTGGACAAATAAAATGAGGCCGTTTAGTTTATTTTTTAAGCTGGTCCATTCCTTAAAAGCATCTGTCATGGAAGGGGTTTTACTGTGAGGTTTTTTGTTTTTTGTATGCTGGGGACTGAACCTGGGGCTGTGTGCTACACAAGCACTCCACTACTGACCTACACCCCAGTCCTTCTTTAACATTTTGAGTCAGTATCTCACAAAGTTGCCCAGGCTGGTCACAAATTTGTGGTCCCCCACCACAACTTCCAGGGTAGCTAAAATTATAGGCATGCACCACCACGCCTGTTTAATTTACAATACCCTTGGGGTTTTATTGTTTCTTTTGGGGTGCTGGGGATTGAACCCAGAGCCTCATGAGTACTGGGCAAGTACACTACCACTGAGCCACACGCCTGCCTTAGGCCCCTGGTTTTGTCTCAGATGTGAAAACAGCTAAGGGATGTTTTGACCAGAGCACCAGAGAGCCTGAGGTCCACACATCCTGAAACACTAAGCATCCTTGCTGCCAAGCCTGCTCCGCTCTGGCTAAAATAAAGATGCACATTCTGGAATATAGAATCAACTTAGTAAGTCCACACATTTCTTTTTGGGGAATTTGAGTTGCTTAGTGTGTGAGGTGGGGGTGGCTGCACCCTGCAGCCCTAAAGGGCTCATCTGCCAGCAGGCGGGAGGCTCTGCCCACCGCAGCACCTGGCTGCTCCATCGTAAAAAGCTGTGCCACTGTTTTGTCTGTACGGTGACACAGGCTGTTGAATTAGGCCAAAGGGTGCCTCTCCCCTCCAGCCAGCCACACTATGGAACACACACGGGGGTCCTCGTGTTACTTTGGCTCACACAGTGCCTAAAATGAGGCTGCTGACATTAAAGTTCTGCATGTGAACACAGATGTGACTCTGGGAAGTAATCACAGCCTCCTGTGCTCCTCGGGCTGGCAGTCAGAAGCACTGTCACCTGAATGTCTTCCTCCCAAGGCCCAGGGGAATGAAAGTGGTCAGAGTCCAGTGTGCCATGAAATCCAGCGACATGCTACATTCTCTGTGCAGACTGCGTGAATGCGGTGGCTGTGTGGGTCTGTGAAACCGATTCTTGTGGGAAGAACCTGAGATTTAAGTACTCCACCCCTGACCACGTCAGCTTCTCAGAGGTGCACCAGCTGGGGATTTGGGGTGCCAGGGAAGATGGTCTTCCATGCTCACACAGTCCTGAGACCTGATGCTACCCGCAAGGCATAATTTAGTCTTTGGCTCTGCTAGATCTGCAGCCTCATGCGAGGTGGAATAGCTGAGAGAGGTGGCGTCCGAGTGGGACATCGGATCATTGAAATCAACGGGCAGAGTGTGGTGGCCACGCCCCATGAGAAGATTGTCCACATCCTCTCCAATGCTGTCGGGGAGGTAGGAGTGAGGGCTGGGCTGGGAAGGGACTGGGGGCACCATCTGCTGCCCCTCGGGTCATGCTGGGCCTTCCAGGGAACCTTCCTGAGTATCCGCTCCCTCCTGATGCTCCTCAGTACCCAGAACCTCCCGTCTCTGACCAAACCCTAAACCACTAGAGGGTGGTTGCCTGGAACACCTCTGTGACAGGAATTCCGGCCATCTTGCACCTTCTCTTCCACTCTCAGATCTTTGCTGCCTCCTTCTGTTGCTGCCCAAGTTTCCTCTGGTTTTCCCTGTTAATCCCACCAAATATGGTTGGAACCTTACATGTCAGACTTAAGTCTCACTGACACACTGGCTCCCCAGAAGTGTCGCCCTAGCTCGGGCTTGCTGGGAGTCCTTACTGCAGTTTTAGGGCCATTGGGCCAGTCTCTTATTGCCAAGAGAGAAAAGGGAGGTGGGGTGGATTAGAAGCCCAGAGTGACTCCTTCCATTTGAAGCATTGTCTGCCTTCCAAAGAACCAAGAGCATCTGACTGGAAAAATACCTGTTTTTCTTTGTTCATTTCCTGTCGCCTCTGAACTGTCTAGATAGCCTGTGGATTTCTTGTAGGGGATATTTTGAAAGCTCTCACATGACGGGCTGTCTCTCCAGGTTTTGAGCCAACACCCATGCAGCCCCTTCCAGCCTCCACCCACTGCTAACACTAATTTCCTGCCCTCAGATCCACATGAAGACGATGCCAGCTGCCATGTACAGACTGCTGACAGCCCAGGAGCAGCCCGTTTATATCTGAGCCTGCGCCTCACGCTCCTCCGAAGCGGCATGCATGGAGGACTCTCCTCATCGTGGTTGTGTTTCTCGTGCTGCATCCGTGTGTCCACTGAGACATTTCCCTTCCCACCCAGCATCCGGTCTTACACAGGAAGAGAAGAATCCAGAAGGACCTCTGCTCTCTGTCTCCCGCTTTTTTTTTTTTTCCTTTGATACCAGGGAAGTTTCCTGTGTGCCCCCTTGAGGATGGAGAACAGTGAGCATCCACCTGGGATCTCCCCAAAACCTTCCTGGAGGGCCTTTGGGGGTCCTGAGGTGGCTGTCACTGCCGAAGGGAGGTCATCTCTCCCCAGGAGGTTCAGACCTCCCGGAAGGAGCTCCAAGGGCAGCACAGAAGCTGACTTAGCAGTGCCTAAACCCAGTTGCTCACCTCTGCTCCCCTGGAGACATTTGATGGGAATACGGTGGTGAGGGGCCCAGCCTCATCATCACATAGGGATACGCACTGCCCATCCTTCATGGACTGGGGCCCTATACATTATTTCCACCCAGAATTTCTGAGCACCTTAAACCTCTTCCTTGGCTGCTTTTAGTTTCAACATGTATATGTTCTCATGTGGGGCCTTCTCACCCAAGGCTAAAAGGGGAAATGCTGCCCTCAGATGAGGCTCCCAGAGTACTGCAGAGAGCCTGGTGATTTGCAGGCCTTGTGAAGCCTCATCAGGTGGTCTGGAAGTTACCAACCAGTAGATGGCCACAGGCGTCGCTGCCTCTGTATATTATATACACTCCCACAGAGACAGTCTCACTCGTTCATCACCCCTTTCTCCCACCACCAGTGAGGCGAGCTGAAATCTGGAAAGCCTATAGCACATCGCTGGGAGATCCCTTGCACCGGCAGGAGGTTAGGCTGCAGGGCCTGGTCAGCCTTGTCCTGAGAGGGATGCTCGCCCTCTCAAGACCACCTTGACTTAGTATGTCCTCTTAGCGTCAGTGAACTGTTCCCCTAGAAGTCAGTGATGTGGGGGTTCCCAGTGCCACGTTTCCTATCCTGAGTAGAGACCAGCCTTCTTTTCTGCTCTGTTAGGGCACTAGACTGGATATGGTGTTTGAAAGGCCACAAAAGACCCTAAGGCACAAAACTAAGGAGACAGTAATGACCTCAAGTGATGCCTAGGTGTGTTCCGGGAACATCAACTTACTCCCTCATGGGTCTGAGTTTCCAGATGCTGTGGAACATCGTTTCCATCAGGTGCCTCACATTTATGATTCCATCTCAGTTCAGTGCAGGTGTTTTAGTAATATTATTCTGAGCCACTTTTCACTTATTCTTGGTCCAAAGAGCATTTTGTTTTCATGTGAGGTATGTTTTTTTGTTGTTGTTATTATTATTGTTTTGTTTCACTCATGACCTCAGTAGAAACAGGGGAAGAAAAACTAATATATTTTGTAATATTAATATAGTCCCTGTTCTCTGCATCTGTAATATTTATGTTATGTCTGTAGAAATAGAAATTCAATGAGCAAACATTGGGTAGGATGTATTTGTAGAGAGAATGGAAGGATTTACAAGAAAGAGAAAAGTGAATATAACGAGATTGGGAACAATGAGATTTCAACCCGAGAGCAATGTGGTAATTACCCTGGGATCTCTGTATCTTCTGAGGAATCAGAAAAGCCAAATGCTTGAAAGGAATTAGCAGCTAAACTCTGTTTGGCCACAGTACAATAAGCTCCAATGAAGAGAGGCTGCCAGCTGCCCAGATGTCCTGTCTGAGAAGGGAAAGGGCTGCTGCTCCTGCAGAGAACTGTATGGAGTGGGGCCAGGGGAGCCAGGACCCCAGCAGTTGTTCTAAGGGTGCTTAACAGAATGCTAAAGGGTGATCAGCCCCAGGTCAACCCATCACCAACTCAAGGACCAGGCCTTGGTCCTATTTGCTTTTCCCGAGTAACCCAACTACAGCCGGGCTAACATCAGAATTAAATACAAAAGAGTCATCGCCCCATCTCTCCTCTACTCAACAGGAATAGGAGTAACATGATATAGGTGGCATCTCAGGCATCAGGAGCTTCTTCCAAAAATCACTGGAGGAACTCGTGCCTGCCTGCTGCCAGGGTTGCTACTCAGGCATGGGCCCAAGCACCTGGATGGGACCACATTGGCAGCCCCAGACTGGCTGGGGACAGGAGTCACATAAGCACATCCCTGTACATCTCCAAATAATTAGTGAAGCTGCTCTGCCCCAGGGAGAGAGAAGATACTTTCCAGTCCTGTTGCACAAAGACCTCGTAAACTGAGAAGGGCTACAAAGCCAACCTCCTACTTTCCTAGAGGAGTAACTTGTGTGGCTCCATGGTTCTTTGTCAGACACTGGTTCCTCACACCCAGAGTGAAGGCTGTTGGAGCTTAGTAAGGGCACACCCGGCTGAAGCAATTTCTGTTCTGCTAACATTGGCCTGTGTGTGGTTAACCTAGTCCTGGGCTCTCAGGTGTTAGCCACTCCATGTCCCAAAGTCCCCAGCGGCCTCTTTCCCATTTGACATCCCCATATATATATAGTTACATATGTAAATATCTCAACACCCTGCATCATGGGGAAGACTGTATAGAGCATCCTTCCCCAAACTGCAAGGCACAAACCCACTCTGGCCACTCACCTGGGACAGGCTCCCAGACCTGCCTCACCCTCGGGGTCCAGCCAGGGTGCACCAGAACCCACCCTGCCTCTGCCTTCTCCAGTGGGAGCATTTCAGGGAGCCACCATCGGCCTTGGGTCCATGAGAGGAAGACGCCCCCAAAGACCAATACCAGGAGCCCACTTTCCACGAGACTCCTTCCTCCTGAGGGTGGAGCATGTCCCGGGGCTCTGCGCCTGCACTTGGGCAGCTGTCTGAGCATTGCACATCAACACCGGCCTTCAGGGAGCCCAGAGTAACCTACTACCTCCCCCATTGCTCCTCCTGTCCCCAAAGCCCTGTCCGTGCCTGTGTTTCCTGTCCCTCACTGGTGAAAACCCACCCGCACTGCCCCTCGGGTCCCTCCACCCAGTGGTGTAGCCGTTACCAATGTTTACAACCAAGAGCCGCCTCTCCCTCACGTATCCACTCGTACCTTCACAAAGCCGCTTGTTGGGCTGTTTCACTTCTGTCTGCTCCTTCCCTGGCTGGGGTCTACTTGAGCACCTGATTCTGGTTTTATTTCCCCCTCCATCGAGGCAGTGTGTGAGGACCATGTGCGAATGAAATCTCCTGTACATACTTAGCACAGCACCTAGCGTATGGACTTGTACTTGTACTGCCGTTCTGTAAAGAAGGTGCAATAGAGCTTAACTGTAAAGCGTTGGGAAAAGTATAGTATTGTATTTGTAACAATATCAGTCTTTGTATACACAAAACTCAATGATCTCTATATATAAATATAAATAAATATATAAATAAGATATATCTACACGTGAGCCTGGAATGTTGACACCACACACCCACTGAATGTATTTCCTCTGACAGTCTGGTCACCATCCGGCCTGCACTCCCCTTCTTACCGTGGCCACAGTCGTCTGGTTTGGGGTTGTGATGTATTAAACGTGCTAGCTCCTTTATTTAACTGAACGCTAATGTCTGTATAAGAGTTGCTGCAACAATAAACAAGACTTTCACCTCTTGGGCCCAACTGAGTGTCTCATTATTTCAGGGGAGGAAGAGAACTTGTGTGTCTTTTCCCTAATGGGCTGGCAACTGCCGTAGGGACTGCTTGCTGCCCAGAGCCCCGGTGTTATATTTCATGAAACTGACTTAGTTTTAAACCCAGAAAGCTATGTTTGTGACAGCTGGTGCTCCACCCGACACACTGTCAGCAAGAGAAGGGACACCCTGGATTTTACATCTACAACCTCACTGAAAGAAGAAAAACAGGAATTAATCCCAGCACCTCCCCCAACACACACACACACACACACACACACACACACACACACCCCTCCAATGAAGGGAAGTGGCCTTTGTCACGCACCTGAGACCTTTCCCCTGAGGAAACAGTGTCCAAGGGGGCCCACCTGAAGGCTCTGTCAGAAGGTTCTGGAGGGTTTTCACCAGTTGCTCTTTTCTATTCTGCTTTCCAAAGTTTGGAAGTATGGCCTTCTTGCTGCTAAAGATATGCTGGGGACCCCAGGCTTCCCAACACACGCTCATCAGCCATGTTTCTAAAGCAAAATCAATCTCAATATCTCCCTCCCTCCCTCCCTCTCTGTGTGCGCTGTCTCTCAGTCTCTTGTCTCTCAGTCTCTAGTACGCGCCCTCCTTGTCTGTCTCTCTCAGTCTCTTAGTCTCTCCATCTCTCAGTCCAGCTCTCTCACGCATGCCCTCCCTCTCTCCACCGCCAGCCCCATCTTCTCTGTCTCTCCGTCCATCTCTCAGTCTCTCTCTTTCTCTCTCGGTCTTTCTCAGTTGTTCTCTCAGTCTCTGTCAGTCTCAGTCCGGCTCTCTCCATTTCTCTCTGTCTCAGTCTCCTCCCTTCTCCCCCCCCCCCCACCCCACCCCCCACTTTCTCTCCCTCCCTCCCTCTCTACTCACAGCATGTGAATTGGAGCTGCCAGAAGTCCTGGGAGGTGGTGGCTAGGTCTGTAGTAGTATGTTTTATAGCACTATAACAAAATACCTGAAGCAGGGTGACTTGGAAAATACAGGTTTAAGGCAGAGCAAGATGGTGGTTAGACCCTCCAAAAATTGTCTCTCCATGGAAATATCTATTTGAAAAGCTATCCAGGCCGGGGATTTAGCTCAGTGGTCCCACCGCCTGCCTCACAAGTGCAAGGACCCAAGTTCGATTCCTAGTACCAAGAAAGAAAAGCTATGCACACCCCTAACTGCTTTCATAAGAGCTAAGGAAATGAAATGAGTTCTCAGTACTGTTTTTTGCAAAACAGCAAAAAAAGACACAGAAGAAGGCAGGAAAGGACTGTTCCTGTCTCCCCTTGCCCAACTCCAAGCAGCACAACATAGAGAAAGATACTTCCCACTTGGTGGAGAGAAAAGAAATAAACTGCAGCCCTCGACTTGAAACCCAGCACCCGAGCAGGGCCACACAGCCCCGGCCCCGGGCCAGCTCCCGCAGACTTTCATCTGATGGCCAGAACTGCCTCCACCGTCCTGTAACTCTCCTGCCTCTCCATCCTGTAACCACCTCCTGTAACTCAGGCAAGCAGAGAGTAGAAAAAGACTACCTGCTCAGTGGGTAGGACAAGGAAGAAAGCATAGGATTTTCCCTTGGACCTCAAGGCTTGACAGGAGAAACTCAGCACTGGAATATACCAATGGCCCCTATCCCCAGTTCCCCTAGAGAGAATTCTGGACCAATACTGATGCCAATAGGATGGACTTGTAATCCAGCCAGCATCACTTCAGGTCATCAGCAGCAGTCTTGAACTAATGAGTAAACCACAGCAGCAGGCAAACCCTAACAGTCTGGGTCTTGGTCTGCCCTTGTACTGCACTAGTCTCAGCAGGCTGTGGGCTGTGGACTGACACTGAGAGGGACACTGGTGCCCTCCATCATATCTCCTACAACCTCACACAGCATAGCACAGAGACACTCATTGCCTGCTGAAGAGAAAAGAGGGTGAGACACAAGTTATTGTTCAGGAGGTTAGGACTGGACCCTCCATCATGAAGCTAAGAACTGGGCAGAAAACTACACCACCTGACCACAGCTTGGTGACTGTGGAAGAGGTGTTTGTGCCTGTTCCAACACTAAAAAGAGGCATATTATGTTTAGGCCCTCCTCTCATCCATCCTGGCAATACACTGACTACAGATTTGCAGCAGACTTGGGTTTGGGGTACCCTCTAGTGCTAAAACAGTGACAACACACCAACCACAAACTCCTGGCAAACCTGCACTATGGGTGCTACCTAGAGCTGAAACGGTGGTGGTGACCACAGGCTCAGACAAAATAAGCAATCTGCTTAATTTATCATTATCAATCCTGTCCTAAAATAAATATGAAAGGAAGTTTTTCAAACTGAAAGAGACATTAATGAATAAGAAAAAAACAGTATAAAACTCATTGATAAGAGTAATTATACAGGGCTGGGAATTTAGCTCAGTGGTTCTGCCACCTGCCTCCTAAGTGCAAGGTCCCAAGTTCAATCCCTGGTACCAAAAAAACAAAAACAGAAGAGAGTAATTATATAAAGTTACAATACTCACATAGTGCAAAATGGTGGATAAACCATTATATTTTAGTATGAAGATTAAAAACAAAGAGATTGAGAATATAAAAAGATTTTGATGTAACATCAAAAAGTCAAAAAGTGGGGAAGAAATGAGTTCAAGTATAGACTTTTATTAGTGTTTCTCTTTTTTTGTTTCCTATCTTTACAATTAGTGTTAAATTGGTACCATTTTAAAATAGCTTAAAATCATCAAAAGATACTTTTTCTATCTGGAAATGTGTGCATACACCTGTAGTCCCAGCTACTCATGAAGCTGAGACAAGATCACAAGTCAAAGCCAGCCCTAGACAAATTAGTGAGATTCTGTTAGATAGATAGACAGACAGACAGATAGATAAGTAGATAGGGCTGGGCAACTAATTCAGT